TCTGTGATTGTGTCTGTGTGTGTGTGTGTGTGTGTGTGTCTGTGTGTGTGTGTATTTGTGTCTGTGTCTGTGTCTGTGTGTGTGTGTGTCTGTGTTTATGTGTGTGTGTGTGTGTGTGTGTCTGTGTTTATGTGTGTATGTGTGTGTGTGGCGGGGGGGGGCGGGGGCGGAGTGTGGTTTGCTGCCGAATTTGACAGCAGGATTTCATGTCATTCCATGTTTCCACATCCCAACCGACAGCAACAGCAACAGTAGGAAAGTCAGCTAGAGAAGGCTGCTGCTGGAGACAGTCCCAAGTAACTGGGTGGGATTGAAGCTTGCTGAAGAGTGGGGAGGGAATCAAGGGGAGAAGGTAGGAAGATTGAGGCTCTAAGACAGAGGGGGCAGCATGGAGCAGGTTGGTGCTTGGTGCTGGTTGGGATGGGGCATCTAATTGATTAGGCCGGGATTAGCAGCCTCAAGTCTTGATTGAGGGGGTAATGTTTGATGGTTTTATGGAGTTGATGTGGGGTTTGACTTGGTGGACATTCGTGTTCCTCTTGTCCCACAAGGAGTGCTATATAAAAACTTTAGCCTGCTGAAACTGGCAGCCCCTGGCTCTATTCACTGCTAAATGTGATAATGAAGGGTCTTGTTTCTGGAAGGCCTAATAGATAGCAGCAGTCCCATATTCAATGATTTGGGTATGCATTCCTCAGTGTTTCTATATTTACTCCTGCTATTCATTTCCCATCTATTGATGGACGTTAGTATTGGCCGGGAATACTCCCAAGTCCAGGGTGTGTTTCCTGGTCTATGCTACTTCTATGTTACCTGGGTGGTAATAGAATGCCCACAATTAGCTTTACCTCCCCAGTCCCTACTACTTGGGTTACCAATTCCTACTGGGGGATCTTTGTTGTTTGCTTAATGTGCCAGGAAGTGAGAATGGGAGCCCTGATATAGTGGAGAAAAACAGCTGACACTCTGCCCCCACCTCTCCTAGGTGGCAACCAAGCAAGAGGGAAGAGGGCTCACTTAAACTGAGAGGTACCACCTCCCCACTTCAACCAGGCTGCCTTCCCAATGGGCTTGACCGTAAGCTGTTTTCTTGAGCAGGAAGGCAATAGGATTGGAGGGTCTCAGCCTGTAATTTTAGTAAGGGATTTGAATGGAAATGATTGGCAGCAAGGATTTCCTGGGTCTGTGGATTAGCTTTAACTGTTAAGGAGAATGTTAGCAACCATTGTTTAAATGCATCTATCTCTGGGATGGGGTGGAGAAATAGAATTCAGAAGGCAGCTGTTCAGGACATCCTACTGGCTGTTTGGTAGAAGTATGTTATTCATAGTTCTCCTCATTCCCTACAGCTCTGCACATCTTTTATTTATCCAAATATTTATCCAATTCCCTTTAGAAAGTCATCATTCAATCTGACTTCACCACCTTTTCTAGCTGTGTAATCCAGATTGTAACTGTTGTGTTGTGATGTGCATATACCTTTGGGAAAGCATATCTTAAACTGCTTTAAAAACCCTAACGAACTGCAGATGCTGTAAATCAGAAACAAAAACAGAAATTGCTGGTAAAGCCCAGCAGGTCTGGCAGCATCTGTGGTGAGAAATCAGAGTTAATGAAGGAAGGGTCACTTGACCTGATTAACTCTGATTTCTCTCCACAGATGCTGCCAGACCTGCTGAGCTTTTCCAGCAACTTCTGTTTTTGTATCTTAAACTGCACGAAACAGGAAGTGATATATAATCACATGACTTTGTAAACTGAACAAAGTTGCAAGTCTGTGGGTCCAATGTGTTAATGTAACCTTCCAGTTACCATGTCTATAGTCCCACCTTCAATTAAAGCACCCACTTTATTCTTTTACTAGTCTTTGTGCGATTGATTAAGTTTGCCAGAAGTGGAAGAACACAATAAAGCCTGATGTATATATTTTAAAAATTATCATTGGATTACTTCTGCTGCTTGTGTCAAATGTATTAAAACACTATTCTCCAGTTACTGACCCTTCAGCTACTGAAAACACCTTCCCCTTGTTCACTCCATCGAAATTCTTGGGTTATTTTGAACATCTCTGTTACGTGACATTGCAGCCAGCCCTGTTGTCAGGCCATGAGGGGAATATCTAGCATTGAGACAGCAAGGGAATACCTTCGATTGCAACGCACTGAAAGTTGACCAGGAACAATCAGCAGCTTTGGGATAAGACCATTGAAAGCGGGAAATAAATAGGAAAGGCCGGGAATGCTTAGCCTGCCGGGGAAGTTCTGTGAGGAGACAGCAGTGAACTGAGCTCTCCCCGGGGCTGACCCGGTGTAAAACTGCAGTGAAATGGAAGGAGACAGACACAACTTAGTCTCTGGCAGGAAGACGTCCTTCATGGTCCAGAGGCTCGGTCTCAGGGATGCCTGACATTTTGACGGCTCCTGTCGCACTTTTCATCAGCTCAGGAGCTGATAACCTCGAGATGATGGGCCTTTGCACTTTGATCAGCTGCCGTTATCCATCTCAGCCTAAATCTTACATCAGTTTGGCTCACAGAGCACTGGTGACAGCTGTCACGAGAAACTTGTCAGTCAGTAGGCTCCTCAAAGAGGCCGGGCCTGTCCAAAAGGCATACACACCAGGTTGCCAACCCTCTGGGACGGACCTGGAGTCTCCAGGAATTAAAGGCACTGCCTTCAGCAATCCAAGGGAGAAAACAAATCACTGAGGCGTACATAGACAGATGTGCGCTTTTTCTTTCCATTTTCTTTGAATATTTGATTTTGATTGATTTTATTGTCACATGAAGTGAAATACAGTGAAAAGCTTTGTTTATGAGCGGTACAGGCAGATCACAGCAAGCAAAGGATGTACAGATCAAAAAGACTTAGAGGTATACAGGTTACATTATATTCGGCTAGAGTCCATTCATCAGTCTGATAATGGCAGGGAAGAAGCTGTTCCTGAACCTGCCTGTGCGTGTTGTCAGGTTTCTGTATCTTCTGTCTGACGGAAGAGGTTGTAGGAGATCATTACCGGGGTGTGATGGGTCTTTGATGATGTTGGAGCCTTTCTGCAGCAGCGAGCCTGATTTACATCTACTTCTTATTGGAGATTAAAAAAAAGGTTAAAAATCAAAAGAACTGCAGATGCTGTAAATCAGAAACAAAAGTAGAAATTGCTGGAAAGGCTCACCAGGCCGGGCAGCATCAGTGGAGAGAAATCAGAGTTAACGTTTCAGGTCGAGTGACCCTCCCTCAAAACAGGTTGTTGGACAATGACCTGGAATATGTCTGACCAGAGTTGGCAACTTAAGATACATGTGACTGAAAAACCTTGTTGGAAATCTACCAGCTCCATTTTACTGTCCGATGATTTCTTCCAACTCAACTGTCTTAAAATGCCACTCCTGGCCCACTCAGGTTCCCACTTAGTGCCTTGCACAACACCCTGTTCCTGCCAATATCACCAATGCCTCACTCTATAGTCTGTCTGTTTGGACCGTAAAGGGCCTGGCAGACCCTGAACATAAAAGACATTAATGATAAATATAGATCCTAAACTGGAATCTCTGAGCAGGATGCAGAAAACAGATGAACAGAGCAAACAAAAGTCAACAACAAATGCATATGGATCGTTATAGCATATTAACCCATAGGCAAATGTGCAAATACTGTCAAACAGTCCAGTACATTGTAGACAACAGCCTTCACAGGACTTCCTTAACCAGTTGGAAAAGGAACATTTCTTAAATTTATATTACAAAAACATTTGTATAGCACCATTACTGTTTGAATAGGACTCCTGTCATATTACTATCAAAATTAGAAACTACAGGAATATTATGTCAGATGACAAATATGTGGGAAAGAGGAAAGTGAAATTCAGAGGTTTAAACAAGAAATTCCAGGCTCAGGCCTGTAGCAGCTGTAGAGCTATGAAAATTCGAGGAACTCAATCAGACCAGAGGAAGTTTCAAAGATAGGGAGAGGAGGACAGTTGAGGGAAAAAGAAACAGATGTTAGAATGTTAAAATCGAGGTGTTGCACAGACAGGAGACAATATAGGTCAACAAACTTCATGGTGCTGGGTGAATGGCAGATGGGAAGGGAATTAGGACATGGATTTGGACATGCTTAAGCTTAGGGAGGGCAGCAATTGTGAGGAGATGATGAGAATAATGATGTGTGGGCAGTAGAGGCATGAATGGGGATTATAACAACAGCTGAGGTGAGGTAGGGATGGAGACAGGCAATACTATGGAGGAGATAAAGGTGGGGTTATGGTTGGAATCTCACTTTGTGGTTAAGTCGGGCACCGCAGTGGACAACTGTGTGGTTGAGGTCTAGACCGTTCCCAGGGTGATGCCTTCAGGAGTACGTGCAACCAGAGGTGCCAATCCTAAAACAAGAGGCTGAAAGAACAATCAGCTGGGCTCATTTCTTCCCAGCTGCACTAGAGCAAACCTGCAGAGGAGGAAATGTCGAGGCCTGATATCTTTTCCAAGATGGACAGCAATGTGTGTTTGTGGGCAAGGGATTCAGTCGAGCAAGGTGAAAAATTGAAATATGGCCATTAGAGCCACTGGATAGCAGAGCAGGGTTAAGGGCTGAATGGCCTCTGGCAGTTCCTATCCATTTTATCTCATTTGCCATCTGCTATTGAAAATATATCTGCCGCTAGTAATTGAAACAGCTCAAGAGAGAGCAGTAGGAATATGCCAGGTTATGTATCCCTCCAACAACTACATATATGAGCCTACAATTCTAGAACAGACAGCTATTTTTTCACTAGTTTAGTCCGTTTACCTGACTTTGCTCCATTTTTAAAGCACCCACTAGCCTTCTCAAATTAACGCGGTCAATAGCTGTGAGACTATATCTTACCTCCTGGGTTTTTTTTAACCTAATTGCATCAAGTGGAAATTAATTACCTGAGACATGCAGGATCAATTTCCTCCCAGCTTTGCTGCTTAATAAAAGCTCTTCAGGATTCAAACACACACGGATCGAATGTTTTTTTTTTAATATTCAGTTTATTGATGAATAAAGTATAAAAATCTGAGTTACTAAAATGCTTCAAAAGGAACATTTTGTAAAACTCTGAAGTATCAATAAAAAGTTCCACGTAAGTGAGTTTTATACACTATCAGTGTTTCCCCTTACACACGCAAGATTAAATGTTTATACAAACAGAATCAAAACATGATCCCCCCACCCCCAACAGCTCATTTACAAAATGTTTTGATGCCTTTTTTTTAAATTTCCAAAATAATTTTTTAAACCCCTTTTAACTATTGTATTATTTTTAAAACTGTTTTACACATAACAGAACACACTGACTGTTAGAGGAAGTTCATAGAGCAAGGACTCAAGGTGGACCAGCCTCCTGCCTGCTCTTTGTTTTTCTATTTTCATGGTAATCAAAATTACAAAAAATCTTTAATCTTCCACTAGCAGCTACTTTAGAGAATCCAGTCAGTCAACAGTATTGCACTTTTACAAGTGAGGAGTTTTTTTTTGAAAGGGGGAAAGGAGATAGTGGCTCATTAACAATATTGGTACAATCCTCCACATTATAGTAGGAGCTGGTTATAGGATGGGTTTAAAGTGTCATTTTGAACTATTTTCCTGTTGATGTCTGTATGCAATGCTAGAAATCACTGGTAGTAAGAGGCTATAGTTGCATTTGGATAACTCATCATATTTTACCTTGGGAAAAAAAACCGTGTGCCGACATCACAAGTTTTGCATTCAACTAAGGTCTGTTATTTCCCTTTAATGACCCGCAGGTACCTATCAGGTTAAAGTGGGTCAGATCCAATGGGGAAATGCCTTCTTATTTTACCCTGCCACAGCACCAGTCTGACATCTCCAAGTCTGATAAAAATCCTTATTTTTGAAAAATCCTCGATTTCTCACCCACCCCCCAAAGTGCCTGAGAGCCAGTGAGACATTTTGGAAAATGTGGTCACTTGTCTCAGAGAAATTGCCAATCGACCCTAAACTGTATAGTTATAACTGTACAGCAATAAATGCCGTCCAGCCAGTGACACCCTCATCTTGTTAATGGATAAAGAAATAAAGGGTACATCCAGCAGTCTAAAGAAACGTGGAAATTCAACCTTTCTGTTTAACCTTAGCAAAATGATCTTTGAACTTGTGATGCCATTGTAGAACAAAATACATAGCTTATTCTTTATTCTTAACATATTTCTAAAAATAGTGTTTTTTTTTTTGACAACGTGGCAGATTATAAATTGACCCTTTTGTTTGGTGATTTGGAGCCACCTTTCCCAGATAGTAATCTGCAGTGTCCTTATTGTAGTAAGAGTCAGTTGTGAAACATACACTTGTGACCAAAAAGCAGGGCTCTGAGGCAATGTTGGAAACAATGGTGGTTTAAATTGAAACATTCCAGCTGATGAGTGTGGGTAGTGTTTAGAATGAAGCTGTGTTCAATGCCAACAGGTGGTACTGCTAGAACGGTTGCCTGCTTCTGGTTTAGCAGTTGCCTGCAGCTGTTAAGGTGCCAGCTTCCTGATGCGTTAAGTATGCCACTCACAAAAAAGTGAAAAGTTCCAACAGTTTTTGGCCTGGTGCCTAAGTGGGACATGTCCTGGCCTGTGACGAGATGAGCCTTGATGTCAACATCATGAAGTAAACTTCATTGAATTCTCCTGTTACTTACAGGAAACAATATCTGGGCAAGTGCCCACAAGGAAGCACATGAACAGCAGGAATACTAATGAGAAAGAACGCAAATTAAAAAGGAAAACAAAAGTTCTGCAAAATTCTTATCCATTAAAGTCTCACTGATTGTAAGACCTTTTTTTAGAATCCTTTATTTAAAAAAATATATAATTACAAGAGCTTCAAAATCAAGGAATTATTCATAATGTATCAATTCTATCCACTGATTGTGGATTCCTGATTCTGTTATGAACTCTATTCTAAGCTTCCATTTATTTTTCAACAGGAGTTGTAACGTCGCAAAGGGTATTGTGCAAATCTTCCTCTGTGCTATGTGATCTGTTGCGACAGGCTTGAGACAGACAATGCCAGGAGTGAAGTGATAATATTATCAAAATGGCCAATCCCTTAGCTTTACGTTATTTGTCATCCTGGCGGAATCTGAAATGGACAAATTTATGAGTTTGGGTCTATCATTAAAAGGAAGTGTTGGTTATCAAAGTAAAAACCCCAATATGATTGGGTGAAGCAGGCAATAGAGAGATAACAAATAAAACCAGTAAATGCTGGAGGTTCAGCAACTGATGAAGAGATTACAGCTTAAAATATGACCTGTGGTTTTGTTCAGACACAGACTGAACGTAATTTGCATTTTTTTCAGCTTTCTGATAACTACAGTTCTTTGTACCTGTGTTGAACATGCACAAATAATTGGGGCAATTTCTTCCAGAGGGCACTAGCCCAGGGTTACACAACACGAGTCAGATACCCAACTAATACATACAAAACAACCCAACTTCGTAGCCCAGCAACTGTTAAACAGAGTCATTCCAATATGTTTCACCTTCAGAACATTAAATTCTTCAAAAGATTTTTGCTGGCCGCATGACAAAATACATAATTTTCAGAGCATTCTGTCTTACAACAGATTTATACTCGGACACTGAGGGACTTCAATTTAAACCTGGTAGTTGTCTAACAATGAAACAGGTTACCACGATGGATAACAAATGCATTGTGGACCCCAGTAAACACTTCAATGAGACACTGGGGTAAATTCAATTTGGGAGGGAGACCAAAGCAGGCAGTATTGTATTGGTTGAGCAGTCCTATATTCATTCACTGTCAGTGACATCATACCTCTGGCTAAAATGTTCTCGTTCCCAGCCCTTCTTCCTTTATTTTGGAATTATGCCTGAAAATAATTTCATTAATTATTTCACCAATTCAAATTGAAATTCCGGTGAAAGTTTGTTTTATTTCTGCTACCCAACATGCTTTTCATTTACAAAACCCACAAAACACTGATGAATTCAAATTTAAAAAAAAGTTGCACAAGCTATCAGAAGAGCTGCAATAAATTACCAAACAATGGCCATGTAAAACTAGACTGTCTTTCACAGTGTTAATTAAAATTGTATTTGCAGTTCCTTGGGAATCTACAGGTTAATTAAAAGGTGATGAAACAAAATGATAGTTGTACCATAAGAATTGGTTGCTATAGCGACAAGTGTGCGTTACATTTTAAGGAAGCAGTCTGTCTCATAACGTGACTGAGAACTCCTCATGTTCTGAAAGCTCAGAGACAGTTTGGTTTTTTTTGTGTCAGGTGAAAATAAGTTTTGTTTTTTTACAGACCCATAGTCAGGCCCACTGCTATTTCCAATACCTTGTGTACAGTTAAAAAGAACAAACCATATAGCTTTTGGAATAAGATAACATCACAATGAAAATTAACAAGTTTTGGGGTGAATTATTTCAGACCACTTTGCAGTGGGGCACTGAAAAGAATGGCAAAATAATTTGATTTCTTCTTTAATTAAAGGGCTGGTCAGAAGTGACTAGTGTCAAAAACCCTTCCCACAGTTTGCTTTTGTTGTTAGAATGATCTTAGCTGTGCATCCCACTGAAAATCAAGGCATTGCCTCAATTTTGTAACTGCAAAAGATGAAGCGACTGTGATTAACGATCTTAGGCACCAGTGTGTGTTTTATGGTAACATCTGAGTAGCTTTTAAAAAACCATCTTGTTCAACAGAGATATCCTTCTGGTGCATTACAAATTCGTTGATATCATTCAACATAAGCTCCTGCAATATTTAGTTTTAGACATGTTCTAAATTTCAATCGATTCTGAGCCACAAATAATCCATTTGGTGGGGGGATTTGATGTAGTTTGAACACTTCTGGGCACAAAGGTCAGCTGTCTCCACTGAGGATGCTCAGTGGTGCAGTGCACTGTGGGAATGTGGCTAGCGAGATGCTCAAGGAGGACAAATTCCCACAGTGCACTAGGCTCCCAATACATGAAGTATACTGTAGTTCCACTGACGTGGATTCAAGTGCAAGTGGTTCGCATATTTTCCCTGCAAAAGAGGCCTTACATGAATCTCTGCAGTTAATACCAATATGGAGTGAACTGCGAGTGGCATTCAAAGGTTAGTTGTAATTGTCTATACAACACATATAAGTATCTATGTACACAAATACAATGTGAAAATCTCTCTCCTCACTCTCGATTGTCGGTGATCACCTCTCCTTAGAAGGCATTCGGCAGTGAAATAAGTGCTCTCCATCAACACTATTGTCTCCTTGCTTAGTTGTCACCTTGGCAAAATACTGTTCGAGTTCACTGTGAATTTACAACTGTCCATCCCTGGAAGAGTTCATTGGTCTCACGAGCTATTAATAGAGCTTAACTCTCTCATATCTCTGATAGGTCATATTTCACAGTCATTAGAAAAGACTCCATTCAGCTATTTGATACAGGACGTGAGTAGACCATTCTGACAACTGTACATAAAAGTGCTTCCCTGCCCCCAGCTGAAGCAAGTGAAGCTGAGAAGGAAGTAATCAATCTGTGCTGTAGAAAAATACAATAATATAGTAACTGTTCTAAAACTTGTTTCTCTTTTGTCAACATGCTCGAAAAAAACACAGATGATGCCCTTCAGCCTTAAGTAGAACTGAGGCCTTTGACCTTCTTGTATTCAAACGTGACGTCAATCAGCAGGCAGTGGCCGCCCACCACGGGAGCATAGTCCTGGTGACCCAAAAAACGGTCCGACTAGACAGGAAAATGACGTCATCCTATTTGCTCCTATTAAGTGCATAAACCTGTCTGTGGGGAGTCTTGCTGGTTGTGAACACAGGTTAGCTAACTTTCCCTGCACCGCTGAAGGCCCGTTCTGGCAACAGAAAAATAAGCTATGGACCGGAAGAGGGAAAGCCATGGTTGCCACTACTTTTTCTCCTGGGAAGTTCCAATGCTTCATTCCCTCTTTACTTGATGTTCCCTGAAAGGCCTCGGATTCTTGTTGCCACTCAGCCCTTCCTGTATTCTTTAACAAATGATGGGCACACCATCTGTGTTGAAGATCATGCCTGTGGTTGGCTCATAGGTTCCGGCCAAGTGGTATAAGTCCTCACTGTCTTGGTATTTCTTGGTCTTGGCCATCAGCTCGTACTGGTCAAGGTTGACCACCTGGCACTTGTGGGAGATGGTCTGGACATCGTTTTCGTCTATGTGCGAGGATTGGTACAAAGCACGCTGAGGGGGCAAGAAGAGGAACAACATCATAGAAACATACCGGGCGGAAGGGAGCCATTTTTACCCCATTGTATCCATGCTGGCTATGAATACACTGTTCCACAAACATAGACAACTCATCAGTATTTCGCTTTCATACTAGAGATATATATATATATAGATACACAGGAGTGTGTGCAACAGAGTTTGTGTACACGAAACTAACTGAAAAGAAATCAAAACCTGACTCAGACTTTTCTACATCAGGTCCGACCATTTCAAATTGCACCACTTTTGTTTGATGCAAAGGGGTTTGCACCTGAAGAGAACCGCAATAATAATTCATTGAACTGGATCTAACGACATTCCAAACTGCGTGACACGAAATGGCCCGGGGATTTGAGAATGCAAGTTTTGAGGGAAGGAGAAATGATCAGTGCCCTGTGAGGCCAGAGCCTCACAGCACCAGGGGCCCAGGTACAATTCTGTCCCTGGGGGTGACTGTCCGTGCGGAGTTTGCACATTCTCCCCAAGTCTGCGTGGGTTTCCTCTGGGAGTTCTGGTTTCCTCCCACAGTCCAAAGATGTGCAGATTAGGAGGATTGGCCATGCTAAATGCAGCATTACAGGGATGGGGTGGGTCTGGGTGGGATGCTCTTCGGAGGGTCGGTGTGGGCTCGATGGGCTGAATGGCATGCTTCCACACTGTAGGGATTCTATTCTATGAAATAGCTCAAAGACGGAGCATAGAAAAGTCACACATATCGAGCTGCTGCTCACTGACTAGGGGAAACCAATCTTTGCAAAGGGGTCTTCAGTCAATTGCTAGTCTTCTTATTTACACAAATAAAGGAGGTTTAGAATGTGTCTTATTTGTCAATATGACTGTTGGCATGCTTCCAGTGTGGCATTTTGGGGCTCTTGTCGAGAACCCTGCTCAGAGTCTGAAAAATGAGGGTTGTGCATTCAGATTTCTAGACCTGTATGTTTTGATGACATTCTAGTTTAGTCAGTAAACATGAGGCTCTCCCAGTGGCTGGGGAGTTAACTCAGTGAATAGGTAAATTGTACAGCCTATGAAACTGTGAAGCTCAGCTGGTGCCAGTCCTGGGACAGTAAGGACACCACAAGTGGCATCAGCACTTTCAGAATTGCTATCCAGTGTTCTGTGCTGGAGATGGATATCTGGATGTTGGAGGAAGATCTGATTTATAATGCTTGTCATGGTCTCTGACACAGAAAGCAAAGACCAACACACATTGCCATTGGTCACTGATGAATAATAGTTAGTGGCCAATTATGCAAGATGCTGGAAGCCAACTGGGATTGAGTGGTTTCATGCAGAACCACAGTCCAGGAGAGTAGTTGCTATCAGGAGGGGTGAGCAAGCAGAAACCTATAAAACAGGAATCAATTAGCTGGTGGTTACCATCCTAAGGCTTTATAGCCGATTAAAGAGCTACATAGTTGCCTGATTATAGGTTCCAAACAGGAATGAGGTTTGACAAGCGAAACCAAAAGATGAGTGAAAATGTTACAAGTAACAGTCAGATACCAACCCCTACGCTGCTAATCTGAACTTTGGGAGTCAGATTATAATCAGCAAAAAGAAATGGGTTGCTTGTGATTTGAAATATTCGTTCAAACTTTTGGATTCTGTTCATTAGCCAGGAGAGCACATGACCAGGAAATATCTGAGCTACTCTCGGAGGTATGAATGGGTTAAAGGTCCACATCTGAAATAGACCAAAGATTGCTTTCGAAACCCACCTTGCCATCGTTGAGTTTTTTGCCCAGGTTGGTCTCTTCTGGGTGGTAGAACCATTTGACTCGCACCACCATGTTGTTACCCCAGGACTCCCACATGCTTTGAATCCTACCAATATACGGGAGGTTGGGACGACCGGCAGACAGGAAGACAGCACAGTCCCCAAGGCGAATGATTTCTTTGCCTCTGACAATCGCTTTGTAGAAGAGCTTCTTTGCTTTGCCCTTCATTCCTCTCCTCTGCAGAAAGATGAAGTAAGTTAATCATTGCCCACAAATGGTGGATGGTGCAGCAATAGCACATAGTCATCGATTGGATAATACACAAATGTGAATTGTAAGCATTACTTAAGTAGGACAGCTTCTTGTGTTCATTAAAGTGCAGGTGGGGGTCACTAGTGAGTGGTACATGTTGCAGCAAGTAGTTTTTCAAACACTGCAGGTTAAATATTGTAAATTCAAATACGTCAAAGTCTTTCTGCAGTCCTTCCTTTCAGACTCTCTTATTAACGACAACGGATGCTTGTCACAGAGTGATGCTGTGAATACTGGACTAGCTGAAGAGATCTTTCGTCACTATAAGTCTAAAGCAGGCTCTCTATGGACAGTGCAGATAGTTAGACTGAGATTCTCTGAGCAGCTGCCACTCCAATTCAAGTTCTTCAAAAATAAACCATAATCCTTTTTAAAAAATAAAGTCAATGAGTTCTCTAAACTACGGCTGAGTTTTTTTCCCTCCCAAGTTTATTTGAAGTTGCTGAGAAAACTGCTGTGATGTAGTAAGCAGCTGCTATTAATCCTGAGTGTGACAAACTTGCTACGAGGCTACAGGTGAATCCCAGAAAAAGCAACAGTTAATCTGAACTCAAAATTCTAATGGAGCAACTCTGGTCTGTCCGTTAAATACCCTTATGTTTGCCGCAGCTAAATACAACTTGCCAACCCAAAACCAGTGCTCTATATAATAAATAAAAACCGAAAGAACTGCGGATGTGGTAAATCAGAACCAAAAACGGAAATTGCTGGAAAAGCTCAGCAGGTCTGGCAGCATCTGTGGAGGAGAAATCAGAGTTAATGTATCAGGTGGAGTGACCTGAAGTTTTGAGGAAGGGTCACTTGAGCCAAAACATTGACTCTGATTTCTCTGCACAGATGCTGTCAGACCTGCTGAACTTTTCCAGTAATTTTTGTTTTTGCTTCATATATTAAATGGGGCTAATCAACTAATGTAGAATTTCACTGAGACCAGAACTGTTCAAACTGTGATTCTGTTTAAGAAAATCCGGCCCATGAACTACAATAAAATGCTCCAGGAAGCTTAAGTGACTCTTTTCAATTTGTGCTTACATTTCCTACGCACAGTTTGATCTGCTTGAGGTTTGTGGGCCTGGAGATTTATTTCGGCCAAGTCTTAGCACTTTATTGCTTTATTGGTGGAACCATGAAAATCAGGCCATATCATACCCACAAGTTGAAAAACACTGAGACTTCATGGGAACGTGGATGCCACACCTTTGTGGGTCCAATCCGGACATGGAACCACTTGTGAGAAAGGGTACAACTGGAGGCCATTGTTAGAAGATGATGACCAGGAAATCCCAAAGCAACTCAGAAGAAACATCTTTACCCTGAAAGTGATGAGAATGTGGAACTTGCTCCAAGAATAGGTGAAACAAATTAGATAACTATATTTAAGTGGAAACTAGAAAAGTCTTTGAAGGAAATAGAGACGAATGCTGAGAGTTATAGAAAAATACAAACTAGGAGCAGGAATAGGCCATTCAGCCCTTTCAGCCTGCTCCACCATTCAATATGATCATGGCTGACCATCCACCTCAGTCCCCTGTTCCTGCTTTCTCCTTATACCTTCAATCCTTTTAGCTGCAAGAATTATAATCCATCTCCTTCTCGAAAACATTCAATGTTTTGGCCTCAACTGCTTTCTGTGGCAGAGAAATCTATGCTCTGGGTGAAGAAATTTCTTTGTTTCCCTGTCCTAAATGGCCCACCTCTTCGCTTGTGACCCTCTGGTTCTGGATTCCCCAGTCATCCTTTCTCCACTTACCCCCGTCTATTCCTGTCAGAATCAGAAACAAAAACTGAAATTGCTGGAGAAGCTCAGCAGGTCTGGCAGCATCGGTGGGTAGAAAGCAGAGTTAACGCTTCGAGTCTAGTGACTCTTCATTAGAACTGCCGCACTCGAAACACTGACTCTGCTTTCTTCCTACGGATCTTGTCTGACTTGCTGGGTTTCTCCAGCAATTTCTGATGAAAATGATTTAGCACCTTTCATGACCTCAGGATATGTCGAAGTACTTTACAGCCAGTGGAAATACCTCTTACAGTGAAGTCCCTGTAGTGCAGGAAACAGTGGCCATATTTATGCACAGCAAGCTCCCACAAAAAAAAAGTGTAACAAGCAGATCATACTGACGTTGGTTGAGGGATAAATATTGATCAGGATACCAGGGGCCACTGCCCGAACCACTTTAAAAAGTGATATGTATGTAGCTGCTTAAAAAGGACCTCAGTTTGAGGAGTTATCCGAGAGCGTCCAGGCTTCTGTGCTTGAAGCTCTGGGGCCTCCTGAGACTTGAACACTAGCTCAGAGGTGAGAGTGCTACCCACTGTTCCACAGCTGAAACCTGTCAGGTCCTTAACCTTGAGGTAGTA